CTGGGTTCACTGAACAGGTCTCTCAAAGGTCGATTTAAAATGACTTCAACGACATGAAACTGGAGCGTTAGGTACGAAAAACAGCGCTTGAAATTAGACGTATGGCAAATCGAAGTGCCAAATATATTACAAGTTGCGTGACATTCAAACCGAGCTGGAGAGCAGCCCCAGGAAGAGGACTCTCTGTTGCCAACTCTTTCCATCGTCGAGACGTCCCCCTTCACGAGTGCCCCTTCACCCACCACGCCGTGGTTGTTGTTGGCCCCTCTCACGTGCCCCCCCACCCCCCGATCGTCGACGTGGCCGATCGAACCGAACACGCCGGAAACTTTCAGAAGCCAGAACGAGCTGAATTTGGGCTCCTGTTTGAGCAGCCATTTGGCGACTGAGCTCGAAACCCGTGAATTCGCCGGCCCTCTCGTGCGATTCAGAATCCTCATTTCGACCGGAGGAATCCGATAAGCTACGAAGCGTTTTTTGTCCGCACAGATGCCCAAAACACCCGGCCAGACCACTGTGCAAGCCCTCTGGGCGCCCGGAAGTGTGCGGGCCAGGCCGGACGAGCGGTTCTCACACCGCGCGCGGCAGCAGCAGCAGCAGCTCCGACGGCCGGAGAACAACAACAACGACGACCACAAACACTCATTGGCGTACATTTAACGCGGCTGCTGTTGTATTTAATAAACTGGGCAATATCGGGCCAAACAAGCAAATCGATGTAGGGCCCCATTGGTCGCAGAGCACTCAATTACTGACTCCGTCAACAGTTTAGAGCGGTCACGTGCGCTGTTCTGGTGAAAAGGAAGAAAAAAACCACGCTAAATAAAATAAATGTCCTCAAATGGCTTCGCGGCCATAGGACTTGAAAATGTAATGGCAGGGAGCATACATCCACTGATGAGCTCCGTAAATGGGTCTGTGCATCACCGTTTAGTGTGACAATTCAGTGATCGGGTTCGCGGGAGTTCAGCTCGCTTGCGAAGGGGGATTTTGTGCGAGATGCCGGCTGAAGAAGTAACGCAGCAGCAGCAGCCGCAGCAGCCGCAGCAGCCGCAGCAGCCGCAGCAGCGTGGCGCGCACAGCAGGAAAAACACGACAGAGCACTGCCGCAGAGACGGCACTGCACGCGAGAAAGCTGTACGGCCACAGTCCACGTCTCACCGGAGACTTTCTCCATTGCTCCCCACCGAGACGTCCGCATGTTCCTTGCCAGACAAACATGCGGATTGGACCCGCGGTGTAGCTTGCAGCGGTGCCGCTGCTGCAGTATGTTGCATTTCTTTCGCACCGTACATAGCCAACCGTGCTATTCGGAAGGGCGGGGAACGGACAACAAACTAAACACAAAAAGCAGTTCTAAGGGATTGCGTTGTCAATCTAGGTGATGTCAAGTGCAGAGCTCCAAGTGGCTTCCTAATATCGGAAGGAAGAACGTTCCAGACGGTCGCAGAAGCGCACCTGAAAGCGCGCGATGCGGTGCCCGCCGTCTTTGTCCTGGATTTTTCTGTTTGCGAGTAGTCACTTTAAGATGTTTGTTGTTCATGTTTTTGTTTGTTGCGGTTGCACCCGATTCAAGAGCCGAATGGCTCACAGGTCTATACCTAATAGATGAAACTGAAACTGATGGTTAACCAAAAGCCGCCGCTGCGAGGATGAGTTTGCGTCTCGGTTTACGCTCCGTGACGAGATCGGCAAGGTCATTGCGGTTCATTCGTTGCGGGCACTTTGTGTGTAATGAGCGCAACCTTGTGATTCATTCGTTCGGCTAACCCAGAAGCCAATCAATTGTTAATTGATGGCTTCGAGTGGAGAAGCTTTAGGGAGCGATCGAGATGAGCGGGCTCCGCGACTTGGGAGCAGCCGTCGAGCGCCGCCGGGCCCGCTGGAGGCGCCGCGCGTCACGGGGACGGCGGCACGCGAAGTGCACCGCCCCCCCCCCGCCCACTCCCTTCGAACGCGGGGGAGGGGGTCAGAGCGCGCCAGGGTTTGGAGAGGATTTTTTTTTAAGGCACGAAGGTTGCGTGGGGAACCCACACCTCACAGCCCCCCCCCACCACCACCGTCACCACCCCCCCAATCACGACATACACAATTCGGCGTGACCTCACGAACACAACACTCTAACCACAGCTTACCAAGCTCCCGACCACAACCCCCTTAGGGCAATGTGTCTGCCATGACCGCGGAATGCAGGTATGAGTACAGACAACAAAGACAATGGTCCCCCTGTATAGTCCGAACTGTTGGGGCAAGTGCTGTGAGCGAGCACCTCTGAGGGCCGGAACGGCACTGCAAGGGGGTGGGTGGCCAGCGCCAAGCCCGGCCGCCTTTGTCTCACTCGTAGCGATGTTTACACAACACACCAGGTATTCATTTGAGCCGACCAAGGGGAGTCCCAAGAACAGTTCAGATAATCGTCAACGGTGTTGGCCGTGAGCGAGAATCGAACTCGACTCGAGCGGGTTCTGAGCGCTAACCACTGCTCCACCGCGCTCTCCTCAGCGAGTGTCTGCGCGACGTCACCACGGCTCTTGTGCCAGGCCAGGTTCACGCTGACGCCACACGCCACACGAAACCTGGCCACACCTCTCTCTGGGAGTAAACCTTGAGACGTGGATTGGGCCACCAGTGGCGGCGTGACGCCCGTGCAAGGCTGTGGGGTGCAGCGCTGTGCAGAAGGGGAAGCAGAGGAGGGCCAGTCTCTAAACAATGTTGTTTTTCTCTCTCTCCCAGGTAAAGCCAACAACAGCGCCACAGATGATATCTCCACGAAGTGGCTTATCACGTGGACATTTACAACAGCCACATAATCTAAGCGCGTGTTTCTAAATGTGGAGGGGAAACGAGCGGAGACAAATCCAATTAACTCCCATTAGGCGGCACGTTGGTGACGGCTCGGCGAGCAACACGTCACGTGATGAACCTGCTGCTGCCCGCATGGCGCTGTGGGGTGAGGAGGCGGCGATGGGGGGGGAGACCGCATTGCTGCAGTGATCGCTCCCCACCACACTCAGGGATGTTCATCTCTTCTGCGATAGGTGCACCCGGGCGATCATTCCTGCGCGGTGTGTACATGTTATCTTAGCGAGGATTTTATAAAGCTCCTTTGTCAAAACGCTTTACAAGAATCATAAATGGTACACTCGTATTTTTGGCCGACGGGGAAAAGGGATGGGGTTTGAGCGCTGGGGAGGGGAGGGGGTGGCAAGGAAGGGTGACGATGGCGAAAGGAGCCCCCTCGTGTCATCCACTGCCGGATCAGGGGCCTCCTCTTCCCCCCACGCCGAGCTGGCCGCGGGCGTCGTGCCGGTCAACGCGGGTGGGTGGGCACGGGGGAGCATAGACGCGGCAGCGTACAGTTGACGATTCTGTTGCACCGACCCTCTGCTGACAGCCTTGCCCCCCCCCCCCCCCCCCCCCAGTGAGGCCTCCATCAGATGTTTTTCGCACGGTTGTCACCCATCCGAGTACTTTCCAGGCTCAACCTTGCGTGATATCGGGCGCATTCCAAGAGATTTTGATCAGAGAAATCTTTACAAAAAATAAAACCCAATCACTTCCTCTACCATTAGGAAAGCGCCCATAAGTTAAGGACGTCGTTTCGACGTTGCGAGATGCTAACTACCTCGTCTGGTATAGAGGTCTTGGGTTCTATCCTGACCTTGACGCCTGCTGTATATTTGGAATTTGCATGTCCTCCCCGTGGTCGCCTGGAATTTTTCTCTGGGGCCTCATTTATAAACACGTGTTTAGAGTATTTGGCTGCTATACATTTCCACAAGATAAGCCACTTCGTTGAGCTATCATTTGTGGCCAGATCGCTTCTGAAAAAAAGAGCTGCATAGCTCCGTGAGCCTTACCTGGTAAAATTAAAAAAAATGTTTACTTTTAACGGGGGCTCGGGCAGGACACGTGGCTAGGTTGAGAGAGCCGAGGGAGGGAACGCGCTCCAGGGGATGCCCATCGCAGGGGGAAGCAGGTCACGTGCAGGCGCGAGGGCAGTGCCCTTCACTAATTGTCATGGGGGGGACACTTTCGCCGATAAGACATAATCAGTGTGAGGGCCGCCTGCCACACATTTGAAACCATTGGGATTTGACAGCAGCACGAGATTTTCACACGTTGCGTATTGTCGGGGGCCGCACGTCAGGGGCCACAATTAAAGGCCACGAGTGGCCACCAGTGGCCCGCGGGCCTTGCAATGAAGAACACTGCGCAAGGTCGATTGTTGAAACGCTGGATACGGCGACGACTCGGGAGGCAATCATCCAGCAGTGGACTAAACATGTGCATGGTGATGATGGTAGGCCCAGTGAGAGTAAACGCGTTTCTTCTTTACAGGTGCCTGCCAACTCCACCAGATCTCAGAAGCTGAGCAAGAAATGGAGATCTGGGTGGAGCATCGGATTGATGGCCACCATGCACTGTCCAGGCGCTGCGTCGTGTGGGACTGTGTTATGGGCAGCAGAGGGCACTGCATCGACTCTACGACGTCTCCACGCCCATCCTTCGCCAATCGCGCGCTGGCGAGAGCGGTAAAGTTTTAGCAAACGACTTCCGACAACCCACGCCGGTGCGTGGAGACCCTCATCCGGCAGCGGCTTGACAAGAGCTCCGCGCGTACGTGCCGAGCAACGCAGGTCGGTCGCCACGGAGGGTGGCACGTGGTAAAACCCCAGGGGCACGGACAGGGCGCGGGGACTCTGCACTCCCGGCGGCTTGCGGCGTGGCGATCGTGGGGGGCCCGGGGTAGGTGAGGGGGGGGTGTAGGGGAGAAGGCGGCGGGTTTGTAAACACTGTCACCTTTAATACTGCACACAAAATACACAGCGGCACGCGGCAAGAGTCTTTAACAGTCACGGTACTACGGTCGAGTCGGCGCGCAATGACAACCCCCCTCTCACGGGGAAGTGGCGAGCGGCGCACCGCTTACGAGAGCCTGGATCCGCAAAACTCAAAACACCGCACCCCCCTCCCCACGCGGTTGGTTCCCCTTCCTCTGCCCCCCTCCACCCCCCCGTTGTGATAAAAACGCCACGTGGCGATGGGGCGTTCACATCGTCGTCGCCATGGCAACGGCGGACGAGGCGGCGCTCGTATCTCCTGTGTGTGGCCAAGCGCCCGGGCATTTTTACTAACGGACTGAGAAAAGTGAAATTCCCTCGTGCCTGGCGAAGGCAAAACAAAGAGAAGGCAGATGTTTTTTTGATTTAGCGTTCAGGGGGTTGTTAACCGCTAGGCGGCGGTGCTGTGTAAGCGGTGCAGCTTGGCTTGTGAAGAGTAAAATAGGCTCCCATTGTGCTTTTAGCCGAGCGCGCTGTCTCTCCGTCTCTCTCCGTGTCTGGCGAGCGTCACAGTCCTCTCAATCAGGTCCGCGTGCGGCGCATGGGTGCCATGGATATCTCGCCATCGTCCTTCATCATCATTGTCCGGCAGATAAAAATAACCATACAAAATCATGAGAGACAAACACCGCCCCCCCCCCCGCCCATAACAACGAAGCTGATCACCGTGACAGAAAAGCTGCAGCCATTATGAAACAAAGTAAAAAAGCAATAATAAACAAAACGCACTCATTTTGATTGCTCGGTGAAATTAATGTAAACATGGCCGAGAGTCAATGAACCGGCGAGGAACGGAGGATAGGACACAGCTCTGGACAGGGTGCGGTGGCCGTTAACCGGGGGACTGGTGTGAGAAACTTGCTTTTAACTTTGTTTGTCTCGTAAAAAATTACCTTCCTGCAAGTGATTCTATGCTACTTCGCCTTTTGATTACCAGCCAGCTGTTATCAGTTCTACATTAAAAAAAAACGTATATTAATCGTGTTCCCCACTTCCCAATCACACAACCCCCCCCCCCCCCCCGCCCAAGACACTCGCCTACGAACAGGAGAAACACACACCAAACAATCGTCAGCCAAGACCGATGGGCATCAGTCACACAGTCCGCCTGTAGAAAATATAAGCATTTAGCGACTCTCTGCATCGGCAGCGAGAGGCAGCATCAGGCGCTCCTCCTCTTCTGATCTTCGTCAGCGATTCACGAGTCATAAAATCTCTAAATCAGTCACATCCGGAAAGATTGCTGCTGCTGCTGCTGCTTTTACCCTTCCTTTCCCGCTCGGTGTCGCACACACCCAGGCAGGCTCGGACGCGGCCGCGTGCGAGCCTCTTCTTGCAGAGCCTCGCAAAGTGTCCCCTGACGTGGGGCGGCTCCCGCACCGCCTTCAGTCCTGCCACGTCGCCCGCCCATCTCCCTTCGGGGGTCGCCGCCGCCGCCACCGCCGCCAACGCAATCGAGTGGAGGCACCCGTCGGCACGGCTCATGTCCCTGGGCAGAGCTCGGCTCCCACTCCTCGGCCCGCCCGCCCGCCCGCCCGCATCAACGGCCCAAAGAAACCGGCGACTTCGCGACCTAGGAGAGCAGGGAATCCCGGTGGCGAGGGCAAGGCAGGCGGACGGAAAATAAAGAGGAGAGGGAGCAGAGAAAGCGGGTGGGCAGACGGGCGGTGAAGGTACGCGGGGACGGCGAGGCCTTGCGGGCGCAGGGCTCAGGCGAGCGCCTCGTGCGTGACGTTGCGCAGCAGCCACTGCTGGGAGCGCACGCCGGCGCAGTCGCGGACGGTAGGCGCCTGGCTGTCCTCCTCTCCCGCCCGGTCCAAGCACTGGTTGCTGTTCACGTGCCTCAGGGTCACGCGCTGCGCACACCGGCCCATAGGAGGAGGACGACAACAACGGCATCACGCAGCGCGTCAGGCAAAGAGAGCAGGAACGCTCGACGATTACACACTCGTACGAATCATTCATGTTACTGTAGCTATACGTTTTTTGTTTTAGGGTGGGGGTTGGGGCGGCATTTAGATCTTAGGGTAGTTCAATCAGGGTAGTTGATCTCACATCATTTAAAAATGAAATATCACGAGTGAAATATTAAGTAACGTCTGAAACAAAGGGTACACAAACATTGCCGTTGTTTGCGTATTGACCTGCGTTTGCATCAGAGCCCCGCAAACCACCTGGAGGGACCGTCCCGACCATCCACCGGTGGCACCGGGGAACCACGCTCTGAGAACCACCGCTCGCTCTACGCCCATAGCCTGTAGCGTCATCCAGTCTGTCAAACGTGGATGTGTGTGCTTGCAGGAAATGAGCGGGTATTAACGAACGTGGCATCACTGGAACCAGAGCGCAATGACGGAGAGACTTCTAAACGTTGAACGGCCGTGAAAGTCGACCGGAGAATGGGCACCGACTCCTCGCCGACTGGAGCGACAAGGCCTCGTGCACGAACGGCAGCGCGCGGCCACTCACGGGGCGCGCCGCTAGAGGAGGCTGCCGATCGCTGCGAGCTCGGGTCGAGGACAACGAGCCGAGCGGCGCTCAGCGCCAGCAGAGGGCGCAGCAGCTCCACAAAACACTGCTGACCTGTTCCCACCACTCCCCTCCACGCTCTCTCCTGCCTCTCTCCTCTCATCTCACTCCACTCCCCTCCACGCTCTCTCCTGCCTCTCTCCTCTCATCTCACTCTACTCCCCTCCACGCTCCCTCCTGCCTCTCTCATTTCCCACCACTCCCCTCCACGCTCCCTCCCGCCTCTCTCCTCCCATCTCCCACCACTCCCCTCCACGCTCCCTCCTGCCTCTCTCCTCTCATCTCCCACCACTCCCCTCCACGCTCTCTCCTGCCTCTCCCCTCTCATCTCCCACCACTCCCCTCCACGCTCCCTCCTGTCTCTCTCCTCTCATCTCCCACCACTCCCCTCCACGCTCCCTCCTGCCTCTCCCCTCTCATCTCACTCCACTCCCCTCCACGCTCTCTCCTGCCTCTATCATCTCACTCTACTCCTCTCTACGCTCTCTCCTGCCTCTCCCCTCTCATCTCCCACCACTCCCCTCCACGCTCTCTCCTGCCTCTCCCCTCTCATCTCACTCTCCTCCTCTCTCCTGCCTCTCTCTTCTCATCTCCTACCAGTCCCCTCCACGCTCCCTCCTGCCTCTCTCCTCTCATCTCACTCCACTCCCCTCCACGCTCTCTCCTGCCTCTCCCACCACTAGCCTCCACGCTCTCTCCTGCCTCTCCCCTCTCATCTCACTCTATTCCTCTCTATGCTCTCTCCTGCCTCTTCCCCTCTCATCTCACTCTGGTCCTCTCTCCTGCCTCTCTCCTCTCATCTCCCACCACTCCCCTCCACGCTCTCTCCTACCTCTCCCCTCTCATCTCACTCTACTCCCCTCCACGCTCCCTCCTGCCTCTCTCCTCTCATCTCCCACCACTCCCCTCCACGCTCTCTCCTGCCTATCCCCTCTCATTTCACTCTACTCCTCTCCACGCTCTCTCCTGCCTTTCCCCTCTCATCTCCCACCACTCGCCTCCACGCTCTCTCCTGCCTCTCCCCTCTCATCTCACTCTATTCCTCTCTACGCTCTCTCCTGCCTCTCCCCTCTCATCTCACTCTAGTCCTCTCTCCTGCCTCTCCCCTCTCATCTCACTCTACTCCTCTCTCCTGCCTCTCTCTTCTCATCTCCCACCACTCCCCTCCAAGCACTCTCCTGCCTCTCATCTCATTCTATTCCTCTCTACGCTCTCTACTGCCTCTCCCCTCTCATCTCCATCTACTCCCCTCCACGCACTGTGCAAGGCTTTCTGTGGAAGTCCCCAGGACAACGTTTGCTCAGCGGAAGGTCGCTCGTTATCCCCTGCTGCTTGCCCCCAGCGGTCCGTCCTCTCTAGAAAAAAAAGCCAACTGTTTGTGCACAGCATCTCGCAATGCGGTTGCGTTTTAGACGCCGTGTAAATCCAAACTGGATAAAAATTCAAACCGTAAACATCACTGCTCCCACGGGCCACCTCTGCCTCTCATACCACGTGTATATAAATGCGGGTAAATGCTTTAACATCGTCAATAACAGCGGCAGCAGCCCAACACGTGTTTGGCGGCCGCTCCGGGCGGCTTTTGACTCTCCGGGAAACTGATGGAGCACCGATGGTTTGATGACGTGCGAGTGATGCAGTTGGAGAACCTCAATTTAAAAGTGCATAGCGATGGATCGTGAACAAGAGAACCAGTTGTATTGCTGTTGTCAATATTGTGCACAGATGTGTGCGCACGTGCGGGTGATGGTGCTGTGGATATTGTCGTGGTTAGCGCGCCGGTTATGAACCCAGCGACCCGCGTTTGATTCCCGCTCGCCGCCAACATCGGTGACAAACAACTGAACCGGTTCTGGGGCTCTCTAGGTCGACTCGGCTTTAAAAGAGCACCCATTGCCGTGTGCAAACATCAGCATTGGAGAGACGACGGGGGCCAGGCGAGGTGTTGGCCACCCACCCCCTCGAGTGCTATGCCTTCCTTCATAGGTGCTCACTAACAGCACTCGCCTCAACAGTCCGTTTGTCTTGTTGGCACAGCGGGGAGCGGCGGTGATGCATTTGTCAGTCACCTCAGTTGGTCGACCTATAACGATCAGGGTGTGTCCCTTCAACCCCTGCCAGCGAGCCTTCCACAGTGCACGTGATAGCCTCAAAGTGCACCTAGCCTGGCACAAGCGCTGCGGTGACATCACCAGCACTTGGTTGCAAGCGGCGGCTGCTTTTGCTGCGCGTGCGTGCGGGCGCACCTCACGGTCGTAGTGCCACAGCTGGTTTCCCTTGAGGTGGTGGCACTTGAGCATCACGACGGGCCCGTTGAGCCGCGACACGTCCAGGCAGAGGTCGTCCGAGCGCAGCTCCTGCTCCGCCGTGTACGAGAACACCTGCCCGCAACGCCGCCGCCAGACACGCGCACACACACACACACACACGGGCACCGTCACCGCAGCTCCCCCCCTGCCCCTGCCCCGACAGGCCGACCGCCGGCTCACGCGCCCGAGACTCACGCCGTTCTTTTAACGCTGCACAAAGTCAAACTTTGGGCCGAGTGGTTGTTGTGAACGGCTCGCGATCAGAAGGCAGCGATCCCGCTCGGTGGTTGACTCGGCCCTCCATCCCCGCTCGTTCGGCAACACGCACGCTGCTTTAGTTCAAGTTACCTGTGGGGTTCACGGGTGTCGTTTTTTGTTTTGTTTCTACCATAGAATTTAGAATTTACACCACTGGCTAGGAGTTGCGAACACAAGTGCTGCCCAAAGCCGATGTTATCAGATCACCGCTTTGGTGGCTTTTATTTTTTAAAGACAATCGTAACAGCTGCAAAAATAAACCAGTTTCCAACTCATTAGGGTTCATAAGCTCAACACGGCCGCCGCTTCCAGCTGCAATGTAATGAATGAGCTGTGATGCGTACCCTGCTCTGTCTGTTAGGAGCAGTGTGCGTGCGTGTGCGTGCAGCAGCGAGGACCGTTAGCTGCAGTGTGGTGGCGCGCGTGACACGTGGAGCGCGCGTGACACGTCCATTGCCTGTATCGTTTTATTTATTTTTCTAGCCCGGGATTAATTCACATCGGCTTGCAGGTGATGTCATTTGGTGGAGGAGCTTAGCGGAAGTCGCGCAGCTGAGACGGGACAGGGGACAGGGCGCCGCCTCGCAGCTGCTCTCTCAAGCGCTCGGCGTGGGCGAGCGTGAAAAGCGCAGTTTTGCGCTCGCCCGCCTGCCCGCACACCCGACGAAGATGCCAACAAACACGTTGCCTTCTGTAAAAAGCACCCGGCGAGGCTCACCGGGAGGAGCGCCTGCCTGGGACCCGATGGGCTCATCGAGCCGACCGCAGGCACAGAAATGCGCCACGTGTGCCGATCCCCCCCGCAACGCCGATCCCCCCCGCAACGCGTGGGCGCGAGGCGACCGCGCGCGGTGACGAAGCAGCGTGGGGCACGCGGGAGTCGGCGCTAGGGGCCGCCGTCCCCCCCCCCTCCCCCAACTCCCCGCCCCCGGCAAGTTCTTGCCAACCCGCACCTGGTTGCCTCCCATGCCGTGGCAGTTGAAGATGCCGACCTTTTCGTTCTCCTTCCGCCCCATGTTGTCCAAGCACTGGTTGGTCTCCATGTTGCGGATCTGCACGGCGGACGGGCGAGAAGGAAGAGCGACCAAACGAATTGGATGGGAATCCAAGGGAGGCGATTAAGACGCGGCGCGCCCGCGTGATTGCGCCGCTCTGCGGGCCCACCGGCGTCACGGCGGGGGGCACGGTGTGGCACAGCGGGGGGCACGGTGAAGGCACGGTGAAGGCACGGTGGGGGGCACGGTGGGGGGCACGGTGGGGGGCACGGTGGGGGGGCACCGTGTGGGCATGGTGGGGGGCACGGTGTGGGCACGGTGTGGCCACGGTGGGGGGCACGGTGGGGGGCACGGTGAAGGCACGGCAGCACATACGGTGGGAGGCCGTCACTCACCGTGCCGAGTCAGTGTGCGGACAGCCCTGGATGTCTCCACTTTGTTTGTTCAATTAATTTAATTTAAATAAACTGTGCACATTTAATTATTCATTTGTAAATAATTTACGGTGCTATTTGTTTGCGCGTTTGCGTTATGAATGTGCACTTACCGACGCGTCCGCTCGTGCGGGCGGGGCGTGCATGTGCGTGCCCGCCTGCGCGTGCGAGCGTTTGCATATAAATGATCCCTCGTTTATTTATTCGTGCGTCCGGTTGCATTTTGGAGACGTTGTGCGGCGACTCCGCGCGACGGCCCGATTCAGGACGCGCACCGAACGTCGGCGTCACGTTGCCCGTCGTACGATCCCGACTTTAAATAATGCAGCAAATTTGAAAATAATTTTCCGTCGAATTTTATTAATCCACACCACCCCCCCACCTCCCTCTCCATGCAGTCTACCAAGGTGAATTCATTTGAAATATTAATGCTTTCCCACGCAAATTTCACAAATGTTCTTGTGTATGTTGGAAAAAAAACCCTCGTGAAGACCCAATTCATTTTCCTCCCTGCTCGGCTCAAGAAGCTGATTAAAACCAGGCTGCCGGCCTCTCTCTGCAACTGCGTGCAATTTTGGCTTCATGAATATTGTATGGGCTGTGGCTCTCTGTGTGTGTGTGCGTGTGCACCTGGTGAAGTGTGTCACATCTGTCATTAGTCCCGTCTGCCGCACGGCGAGCGTCCACCACGATGGAGGGACGCGCAGACGGGACACGTCAAGGCTTCATTAGCGGACGCGCAGCTGCGCCCGGCCGCGCGCAAAAACATCGCCCTCCCGTCACAAACGCTGCCGCCCCCCAACCGGCGACGCTTCCGTGCACCCCGCCGCCACCGCCGCGGCCCCGGCAGACACGGAACGATTGGAAGACGTCCTTTGCGCATCCGAGCGTCGAGGTGGTAGGGGCCGTGGGGGCAGGGGAGGGTGCTGAGAGGGAGGGCGGGGAGCGTAAGACACAAACTGGCCCTTAATGGGGGGGGGGGCGAGCACGCGCTCCCTTGGGAGGAGCCGTGCCGGACGAGAACCGTGCCAGAGCCCTGCGTGCTCGCTCAGCGGTCCGCGCCCGCCCACTCCCGCGGCACGGTGGCGCATCGTGCAGAGGTGTCACGGTGGGAGGATCAAGAGGAGGAGGTAGTGGAGAGGGGTGGTCAGGTTACGGGAGGTAAGAGCTTTGGTGTTCCAAGGTGCTTCCACAAGACGATGCGATGACAGGAAAAACCTGGCCAAGTGAAGGTGACCTCCGTGCAAGCGAGGTTTGGAGGCCAGTGGTCCTACATCACGCGCATAGCAGCTCCGACACCGGGCCTCGCGCTACGCTCCCATGAGCACGTGCATCGTGCACTGCCGTTCACATAGCGCTACTGCCAATCGCTCGCTGCGGTTCATATCCACGACGCGTGCGTTTCTGTATAATGAACATTTGTAATCTCGAGTGGCTCTCATCTGCTTTGAATCAAGGAGTTGGCCTCTTTTCATTTGCGCAAAATATTGGCAGAATTTTCTCTGAGCGGGTCGACCGAGCTTTGTGCCGGAGCCTGCGAGCAGCGTTTCTGCACGAAACCTAAGCTTGAAGGTCCACTTGTGATGCGCGCCACGGCAAGGGGGGCTTCACAGACACGTCAAACCTCTCCTTGTTCTAAGCACGGCTCCGTCATCTGTGCCTCACGGCTCCAGATTAAGATTCTGATGCATTTATTAACATTGTTAATTTGTCTTTTACGTAAATTTTAATGACAGACCATAATAATATTACAACTTACACTGCAATTACGGCAACAACAAACACATGATGTTTTTGACCTGGAAAGGATTGCCAGTGCACGACGCTACATAGCGTCGTGCAAAAACCGCGGCAAAGGTTCGCGCCCGCCATACACCGACGGCGACAGCGGCACGCACCTCCCCGAGCGAGTAGTAGTGGCGCGGGATCTGCGAGTCGGGGTAGATGTTCTCCAGGTACCAGGAGAAGGGCTGGCACTGCAGCCGCTCGCGCAGCTGCTTGCGCTGCGACACGTCGCCGTACTCCACCTTGGTCACACCTGGGGGCGAGACGACGCACGGCGGCGTAGATAACGGAGCGCGCGGCCGGCGCGCCGAGGTCCACAGCCCGGGGGAGACTCAGGCGGCGGATGATGAAGAGGGGGGGCGAGGGACCACCCCCCCCACCCACCCACTTGCCCCGCCATCACCCCACGCCACTGCCCCCCAGGCCGCGCGACGCCACTGGAGTTGCTGCGTACGCGGCGCGGGCGCGTGACGCGCCGGTCGTGCATCGCGGGCAGAGGCGTCGAGTCTCGGCGCGTTCCTTCCCGTGCCCCCCCCCCTACGCGGCGTGCGCGACGCGGTGCTCATCTCGGGAGGATTCCACGAGCCAGGGAGCAGCGTGACCTGGATGACGTTCAGTGTTGTGAGCTCGGTGTGTGTCTCTGTGTGTCTGTGTGTGTCTGTGAGTGGGGAGCGGTGGTGTCGCGGTCAGCGCGCCGTGCTACGAACGCGGCGACCCATGTTCGATTCCCGCCCACGGCCAATACCTGTGATGATTATCTGAACCGGTCATTGGCCTCCCCTACGTCGACTCAGCCTCAAATGAGTACCTGGTGTGATGTGCCTTCATAGGTGCTCACTAACTCCATTTGTCAATTCTTTGAAGGCTATAATGGAGATATTTGTCTATTGTGTGCAAGTCAATGTGGATAACGCCTGCGATGCCACGCTCCGAAGACAAGGACTGGAGGATGGATTGAAGTAGATTTGTGCAACTCACAAACATGCTGGGCTGCCAGGTGGCCGTCAAGTGGGCTGAGGAACCCATCTGTATGGAATTTTAAGCATTTATCCCCATTGTGTCCGCGAGGCTTTTCTCCGGCCGCAGAACTCTGCTGAAACGGGAGCGAGGCTCGGCGAGGCTTCCTGGATAACTGTCGGGTTAGCCTGGCATGAGCAGGTTGAATGGCACCCTGCTGACTGTCAAGAAACGCGAACGGGGCCTGGGCAGGGACGGTGGCCGGCGGTCGAGCGACGGATCGGCAGTCAAAGGGGGGAAAGCGCCCAAGAGGCCGTCCACCGTAAATTCGGAGAAGTCGCCGTTGTGTTCAGGAGCTGAGCTGGGTGGATTGTTGCACCGCAGGAACCGCGAGAGACGGCGACGGATTCGTTAAGCCTCCATCCAGCAGTGGATTGATCACTGTTGATGATGGCGATGGTGGTGGCGATGAGGATACCCAGGATGAATGCATTTACGCATGTTGAACTTCTTTCGCACCGTACGTAGCCAACCGTGCTCATTGTAAATGCGGGGGAAGGACAACTAAACACAAAAAGCAGTTCTCACGAAATGAGATTTCAATCTAGATGATTTAAAAGTACATAGCTCCAGTGGCTTCCTAATATCAGATGGAAGAGCATCCAGACGGCCGCAGAAGCGCATCCGAAAGTGCGCGACGCGGTGACCACCGTATTTGTTTGATGGCGAGCTAAAAGCCGATGCTGCGAGGATGACCGGAGCTCTCGTGATGGTTTATGCTCCTTGACAAAATTAGCAAGGTATTGTGGTTCATTTGTGGCAAGCACTTTGTGTACAATGAGCACAACTATATAATGTCGACTGCTGTCATTCTCATCAGCCGAGGGGGGGGGGGGGGTAGTGGCTGTGGCTCCTCACCAGGGGAGATGACGTAGAAGAAGTCCTTGAACTCGTCCATCCACACCTCGGCCAGGCGCCGGTTGTTCTTGTTGATCACCTGGCCGGTGCCGCCAGGGAAGGTGTACGGCGTGGCCTTGCGGAACACGTGTCCCACGTGCGAGCACGTGACGATCTCCAGTGAGCCACCGCACTGCCAGATCTGTGCCAACATGTGCGTACGCACAATCAGTACGGTTCGCTCGGCAAAAAAAAACAAAAGTGCGCCGCACAACAGAACCCAAACGATGAAAGACCGCGGCCCGCACGCCGCTCACAAGACCATCATCGTCCGCAGGTCGTCTTGGCAACCGGCTCAAGCACGACATCAAGGTTGGATCCTCCATAGCGCCCCCCCCGCCCCCCCCAGTGAGGAGGTGGTTAAGGATGGTGGCGGCAGGGCATGACCACCGTGGAGAGGAGGTGATCGGCAATTATCCCTCACCCGACGCCCAAAATCTCACCTCTGCGATCCTTGTCTTCGCGCTGAAGAGCGTTTTGGGTGACAACGGAAAGCGTACGAATATTGGTTGACGGTAACGCAGGAAAATGGTACGAGGCACTGTGAATGTAAATACACCGGAATGAGAGAGGGGTTCAGATGAACGCACCTGGGCTAGGTGCACCGCACTCTGCCGAGAGGAAGGGAATTTAAAACGACGCGAGTCTTGGTGCTTTACAAGCACCGCACGCTCGTACAGCGCGAGAACAAAGGGACAAGAGTGGTCACGAGTGGATGACGCGACCACTGCGAATAATCGCCCTTCTGGGATCGGATAATAAAAAAAAAGTGACGGATTCCTCTTTGCCTGCGCTCCGCACGTTAACAAGTGGCAGCCGTCGCGACGTTCACCCCGGCGCTCTCTTGCGGCGCGCTCTGCAGATGCAAGAATAAAATCCGGCATCGCCGCTCGTGGCTTTTGCCGGGCCAAAAATGCACTTATAAAAATGCAAGAAGGAGCGATGTTTAATACGGTCCTAAAAGCTACAATGCAAGTAATTCCCAGGAAGCAACGAGATAAACGTCTACCCGCATTTACATTAAAAAGCCCGTTGGCAATTTCCAGGGCCGACGCAATAACCGTTTGGTGTTTTATGAGCACAACATAAGTGCTTTTTTCATCAAGACCATCACTAACCCATTTTACGGTAGCTGGTCTGGCCCCGCAGTGAGACGGCGGGAATGGCCGAGGTCCGTGTGGGACATGTATCGCCCCCACAGGCCCCACACCCCCACCACCTCCCCGAGTCGAATGGACCGGGTTTACACGTATTTACAATTTTTAACCCCGGGTGTACCTGTGGCCACGTACTGCCTGTTCGACGTGATGCGAGCCTCGAGCCACGGCGTGACACGCGTGCACCCACACGCGCGCATCCACACGCGCGCACTCATACGTGCGCGTGCACGCACGCGCACACTCGCATCGACACTGTAACCTCTTCAAAATCGAGCGGTTGCAAGAGAAAGGGATCCAATAATTTAGTTCGTGCTGCAGAGTTCACGGATCAAATTTACCGCATATTTACACACGGGGGAAAAAATGTAGCAACAGATTAATTATGCACTGTTAGGCTAACCAAAGCAAATCGAGCTCTAATTTCAGTCGATAAAAGCACATCTCGATAAACCTTCTCACTAAGCAGTCGTGATGAGCCTTCGTTGACCCATAATAGCACTTATTTACCCGAGGCTCCTACGTCGGGATCTTTGGACAATTCTGCCGATTCCACCCCAATCCCAGGGGAATTGATGCCGTATTGGTAGGTGCTGCAGGGGGATGTTGCGGGAGTAACGATGCCTCGAATCGTTGACCAAAGTCGAGTCTTACGCTCGCGACCCAGAACGTGACGAAACGACGCAAACGGGCTCGGTATAAAAGACCACAGAAAAATTCAACGATTCTTTTAAAACTCAAATCACGACCCTGAAGTTACGACGACTGAATTGTCGTGGGACGAATCGCCGATGCGCGTGCCATGAAAGCGCGGGGTCTGCGCCAGGCTGCCCCCGTGGCGGGAGGGGGCCACGTGGGACAGCAGCGTGGGGTGCGCGCCTGTATCCACCCCCATCGCACATTCCCCCCCCCCCAACTGTGCTCTCCCCTCCCTCGTACTCAGCGGCCAACAAGGGACTCCTAATGGAGATGCATTCTGGGGGCTTTCGAGAGCCTCATTAGGGCTCCTTTGTGCTGCAGCAAAGAATGCCAATGGCCCAGTGAGCAGTGAGCAGGGAGAGCCATCACTCTCTGCTGTGCGGCAGTGGGAGGGCAGGACACGTGCTGGACAGCCGGCTGGTCAACCGCAGGGTGGGACGCAGCGTGGAATGTCGCGCCATACTCGACAGCTCACTGCCCCGACGCCACACTACAGCACTACAGCTCACCAGCACACCGCACCACACACTGCACCACATGCCAGTGCCACACCTTACCATCACACCAGACGAAAAACCTTGCTAATATCAAGTGGGAGGCTGCATTTGATTATGGTTATTATTTACATGCGGACGTGCTTAACGTGTAGAGACGTAATGAATGCAAACATGAGTCAAATACAAGATCCCTGCCTTCGCTGCCTTAAAGACCCTCCATGGCCTGGCCTCTACCTGCCTCTCCTCTCTCATCTCGCTCGACTCCCCTCCACGTGCTCTCCTACCTCTCCCCTATCATCTCTCGCTACTTTCCAAGACTGTTCTCTGTGCCAGTAACAAAGGCCTTCTTTTAAAACCCAGTTAACCTCCGCTCGATGGGAGGTCACTCCTTCTCTGCTGTTGTCCTTGGAATTCCCGGCCCCCACCGCCATCTTCCTCTTCATTGCCCACTCAGGAATTTCCTCTTGTCTTCCGCCAATGACCGACCCCTCCAATATAACAATGTACATGAGTATGCGTGTATATACGTGTGTATAAGTGTGTGTGTGTCTGGGGGGGAGCGGTAGTGTAGCGGTAAGCGCGCTGCGCAACGAACAAGCTAACCCGAGTTCGATTCCTACTTATGGCCAACACCAGTGACGATTATCTGGACTAGTCCTGGGCCTCCCCTAGGCCGGGCGTGTTGCTGCCACCCACCCTCGTGTGCCGTGCCGGCCTTCATAGGTGCTCGCTAACAGCACTTGCCCCAACAGTCTGTTTCAGCTATATGCAGGATCTGTGCCTTTGCTGTGTGTATATATTATTCCTGCCCGAGGTTCCCGAAACAGCGTCCGGCCACCCGTATCTCTTGCACCCGGTACTCATTTAAGGGCGAGTCGACCTAGAGGAGGCCCAGGACCGGCTCAGATATTCGTCACCGATGTTAGCCATTAAAGGGAATAAAACTGTGGTCGCCGGGACAGCAGTGCAGTGCGCTAACCACTGTGCCTCCGCTCCCCGTAACTACTACGCGCGCGCACGCGCGCGCACACACACACGTACACGGGCGTGCAGTATATTTCCAAATCATTAAAATGTAACGAAAAATGTTTGCGCGCTGCATAATACATGAGAGCTTCGCGGCTTCCCATCGCGCCTCGCTCACCCAAGTTCCATCGCCGCCTCGGCCCGCGGAGCAACGGCGCGCGCACGTCAACGCGAGACCGCGCCTCGTCACAATTAATCAAACGCTTTCTACGTTTTCACCCCGTCCGTCCTTTACGCAGCTTTCCGCCGAGTCCACCCGCCGCCGATAACCGCCAACAAAGGCACCAGCGTTGGATTGTTTTGCTTTGGTGGGGAGGTGGGTGGGGGGACGGCGGGTGCGGAGAGGCATGAATAAATTATCCCTCTCTGTTTGTTCGGCTTGGCACATGAAAGCGGCGCGGGGACTCTTTGTCGGGGAATAATACACCTGCAGACGGGAGAGCTCCGCGCGGCATTCCCCAGAGCATCGCTACAAAAGGGGACCGGTCCCCTAATTAAACCCACAAGGTTACCGCAGGTAAACAGGCCTGCACGCTGCATGAAACGTTTGCTTTAAGATAGTCACACGGCCAAACAGCACGCCACTTTGCATATCGTTTTCGCTCGGCCCTGATTTTAAAAATAATAATAATGGCATATTCAGCACTGCGCGGCTGATAAAGGCATGGCCGAGGCAATTCGTTTGCATGCACGGTCAGCTCTGTTTTATGTTTTGCACGTGCGTTCACAACTGTCAGCCGCTAACGCAACACGCTGCTGCACTAACGAGCGACGCGCTCCGTGGAGTTGGGAGAAGCGGGGCCGCGGGGTTAAGCGCGAGTGTGGACGGCATACAGAGTGGCGCGCAGCACAACCGCGCACTGCGACACACCGAGCGGGCCGGCGCACAGGGGGAACGCAAATGACAGAGACCCTCGCCACACCACACCAGCCTACGCACACCATCACGCAGTGTGGCACCAAAAAGACAAAGAACCCCCATATAGCATTTAAGAGACGGTTGGGGCAAGTGCTGTTCGTGAGCACCTGTGAAGGCCAGCACGACACACGAGGGAATGGGTGGCCAGCACCACGCCCGTCCGCCTTTGTCTCCCCAGTGGTGATGTTTATACAACGCACCAGGTTCTCATTAAAGGGGGAGTCGACCTAGGGGAGGCCCAGGACCGGTTCAGATAATTGTCACTGGTGTTGGCCATGAGCGGGAATCGAACTCGGGTCGCCGGATTTGTAGTGCAGCGCGCTAATCGACACTCCCGTATAGCCTGTAACAGACTGTTGGGGTAAGTGCTGTTAGCGAGCACCTATGAATGCTGGCATGGCACAAGAGGGGGTGGGCGGCCAACACCACACCCGTCCGCCTTTGTCTTGTTTACACACCACACCAGGTACTCATTTGAGGCTGAGTCGACCATACACACACAAACACATGCAAGCGCGTACCATGAAGTGTGGCCTCCACACCAGCACACACTCGGCACACTGTAACACAGCGAAAGACACCATGCAGACAGGAACACACACAACACACGTCGCGTGGCACACAGGAGGAAGTGTGGCAGCCCCGCCCAGAAAGAGGTGACCAACCCGGAAGGACATCTCCAGGTTCTCGCCGCCCCAGATGTCCATGCCAGGGTCGTAGGAGCCGATCTCCTGGAAGTAATCGCGGTCGATGGCAAAGAGCCCCCCTGCCATGGTGGGCGTCCTGGGTGGGCGGGCGGGCAGGCGGGCGAGTGGGTGGGCGGGCGGGCGGAGGGGACGGATGGGATGGGATGAGAGGGCGGGAGGAGACAACGTGTCATTAGAAGGACAGCAAATTGTGAAGTCGAGCATCGCGGGGAAAAACATAGTGGCTGCGACGGCTTCCGCAGGCGCACGCGATCGCACGCCGAGCCGGCTACATTCTCAAATTACCTTCAAACTCGCCCAACCTTTCATACAACGACAACTGGGATTCACACGGAGCCCTACGCATGCCTGCGCCCCACGATGCTCGCAAATAAGGGCACACGCGCATCAACATCATTTACAGATAGAGGCGTAATTTTTTCTTTCAAGGGGAGGAGGGAGGAGAATTAGAGGAGAAGAGACAACGATGAGATGAGAGTACGGCAAAGGTGCAAATGAAGGCTCTTCGCAGAATCATAGTCTGAAGCCTTGAGCCAGGATGTGAACGGTGGGGAGGGGAAGTCCTTAAGTCTGATGCTGCGGTGTGCCAGGTGTAATAGACCAGGTGTTCAGGCCAGGTCCATTATTAGGTGTGAGCCAAAACAGCAAGGATGGTAAAATCTGTCAGCTGCATCTGCCACTGCCAGCGACGTGGCTGCACTCGCGCGAGTGTTGGGCGCGCGTGCGTATGCGCCCGCCGGGGATAAGGGAAATTTTATTTTTTGCAGTTGACAAAGGTAATTTTTTTGTAACATATATTACAAAGGACAGCCACGTATGTTTCACAACTCTATTCATCGCCTGCACTTATGCAAACAAACAGCGGTGTCTATCTTGCGGCTCGCACCATTCACATACCCGAGCCGCGTCAAAAAAGAAAACAGATGCCGCTGGGAGTGAGGCACCACAATATCAAGCAGATGGCACTCGCAACCGCCCCGGCCGGCGCTCACATCGCGCCAGCGCGGGGGGGGGGGGGGTCGCTACCTGTGAGCCAATCCTGCGAACCTGACCTTTCAGCTGCAAATGCTACGTCCTTTACCTGGCGTGACCCCTTCCTCCCGAGCGAGCGAAATCATTTGCCGATGCCACGGAACCCTCCCCACTCCACCAGCCCCCCACCGCCGCCCAGGGACCCGGACTTCTCCAGCAGCAGGACTCCTGACAGGTAAAGTGGCTACGTCCATCCATCCGCCGAGAGGTGACCGACTTTCCATCCTCCCCTGCCCCCTCCAACCCCCCCGCCCTTCCTCTCTGCTCGCTCCTCCCCCCCAACGACGCGATATAATCCAGTGCCCGCCCTTCCCACCGCCCCACGTCGCCCCCCGCACCCCCCAAAAACGGCCACTCCATCGAGACAGGCGTGGCTGTTTGAACAAATCTGGCTCGGGTCCAATTTCGACGGCAGCGCGCTTAGCCCTCATTAGTCGTAACTCGGGGAGAGAGAGAGAAAACAAACGCAGCAGCGGCGGCGGCGGCCCTCCCCGCAGCACGTCCGATCAAATTGATCCGTCCCTCGCTTTCCCTCCGGAAGGGCACGGTGACGGTCGCGCAAAACAATCGGGCTCCGGCGAGATGCGCCGCGATGAAAACCGAGGACGCAAAAAGGCGTCGTGAAAGGAAAGGAAGAAAGTTGTGTTGACTGCCCGAGGCGGCAAAGCAGCAAACTAAGCACTGCAAAGCAAGCGGTTTGCAAATGCTCCAATTGTCAAAAAACATATCACTGCAGGCACCGAGCGGCGGTCGTGGCTAAAGTGGCCTCGCGATGAGCGATGGACGGGGAAGCACACAAAAAAAGGCAGCCTTTACAATGCAAGTGTGTGTGTGTACTGTATTCGGCATAGCCAGGGCCTCCAGGGGGCACTGACACTACAACGGGCTTTGACAAAAGAGGACGGCATGAGAAAGAAGGCTCCCAAATAATAAAGAATAAAGAAACCTTTCACAACAGAGTCGCCGAGAAGATAAAAAAACAAACAACTCGTGCGTCGCCACTGGAGAGCGGCGACAGCAGTGGGCGGGCGGAGTGAAGTCACCGCGCGGAGGCGAGGCCCCGCACCGCGTTATGCAGAGCCATGCGTGTGATGTAAACGGAGCCCATATTTCATGGTAAACCAGGAAATTCCATGCCTGACCACATCCCCCCGCCATCGCGCAGCACGGCCATCAGTCTTGGCCGCGGTGATGCGATGCAGTGGCTGGGAGCGGCGGAACGGCGCTGTGATGTACCGTATATGCAAAGATTTTCGTGCTTTCCTTCATTTATTTGGGTGCTCATGTCTCCATAAAAGTGTAAAAATCCACCAGTTTTTGTTTCTGTACACCTCGGAGCGTGACATATTGAGGACGGAGACTTTGTGGAAACGCAAACGATTACAGCACGAGCTTCCCAAGTCACGCGCAAGTCGAAGCCGCGGGATCGGGCTGGCATGCGACGGAGCTGCCCATTTATTTATTTATTTCCCCACAGAGCAGAGTGGTTTCTATTTGGGGAATACACAATAAGACACTGACGACCTTCCTGTAATAGCCCAGCGACCTGATGAAATCCCGAGAAGAGCAATCTCGGAAATAAATTAAAAAAATAAAACCCGACACCCGTCCTTTCTTTACTCCCGATGACGTCCAAACCAAAAGGGTGAAATGTTTGCGACAACGCAGCACCCTGGGCCAAAACGGCGTGCCGGCACGGATCGCTGCCTCCCCCCTCTCAATCTCACGAGCACACGCTCTCGTCAACGGAAGCCCCAAACCCCACTCCCCCCACCAAAATGTGAGACGCCCCTTGAAATCGATAACTCTTTTCCCGCCCACTACTCGTAAAATCAACCAGCTCGTTCAGTCTCCGCCGCCAGCCTTCTCTCTCTCCTCCCCTGTTCCCATTTCCTCCCGCCTGCTTCTGCTCGCCCTGTCGATGCGCAACAGCGTCTCGTGGACCCACCGTGCGGGCTCCCACCACCGCAGGCCCGGCCTCATACCCTCTCGCTTAATGCCCACCACCTGACGCCCCCCGACCAGCTGCACGGACGACAGCGGTCTCTGGGTCTCCCCTTCTCACCTGACGGGAAGGGTGCGGTCCCCTTTCCGCCGGTCCATCTCTCTCTGCGGCACCGGGTACCAACGGAAGTTGAGCTTCCAGTTGAAGCCCCCGTAGGTCATGTCGGAGCCCGTGAGGTACTCGAAGGTCTCGTCGCTGATGACGTCGATCACCGGGCAGACCACGGCCTTCCTGCTCCCGGCCAGGCGCGCACACACGGCGGTGCGGGAGAGGTTAAAGCGCGGCCGCCGTGACGGGCCACGTGTGGGTTAACGCGCGAGTCAGAACCGGCGAAGGACCGGTGAGCACGTGAAATCGGAGAGGGCATTTTGTTTGGACGCGATGCCCTTTTGGGGATGCACGATGGCCGGGCTCCACGGACCTCCGGGAAGGCACGTACGTACAGCAGCCGCGTGTAAAATCTTACCGATAGAAAAAAAACCCGCCCCATAACATTTACACTGTTAGACACCCTGACATATAAAACTGCACCATTTCAAAACCCTCGGCCTATAAAAACTCACGCCTTCAAACGCCCTCACATACAAATTCAAAACACCTATGGCCAGTTGCTTAACACACTAGGCATGTAATGAAGCATTGATTCATCAATCGAAATGGATTCTTACGCTCACAATATACGCATCAAATTGCGCGTGAAAATCAGATTTTCTTCTTTCGCACATTATAGCCACCCATCCCCCCCCACCCACAAACTATCCATCATGGGGGAGGCCCTCATCTAGCAGTGGATTTACACAATGGCTGTATACGACCTTATGCACATCATATGCAAATGGATGGGTTTAGACCAACGGAGTGCACACATAGTACAAATAAGACCCCGAAAAACTGACTACGCGGGTCGCACCTCGATTTTCTTGGTGCGAGGGGGGTTTGCAACCTGAGAAACTCAGACCCCATCGTGAAGCCGAGGCGTGATCGCAAAACTCCCATCATGCCTTGCGTGCCACGAAACCACCACCTTGCATGCACGATGCTTCCAGCCTCGTCCAGGCCACCAGCCCCCAAAACAGCTGAACGTGCGACCTTATTATTATTATTCTCCAGAGCGTCAACTCAAAGAGTTGAACATGTGGCCGTCCCATCGAATCTCGCAGCGGCAGGAGCAGAGACAACGGCAGGAGCGTCGACGCGCGGCATGCTGGCGGTTACCTGTCCTGCTGCACGCGCGCCAGCAGCGGCTCGAGCCAGCCGGCGGTGCACTCGCAGTGCGCGTCCAGGAACGTGATCACCTGGCCCCGCGCCACCGCCGCCCCGCGCAGGCGCGCCCGGATCAGCCCCGAGCGGCGCTCCATGCGCAGCACTCGCACCGGCTTCTCCAGCGCCCGCACGTGCTCCTCCAGGCGGCTCTTCAGGAAGTCTGGGGCAGGCCGAGTGGGCAACGGGCAAACGGCGAAGCGCAGAAGGGATGAGGGGCCGGGGCGGGTGCGGGAGACATGGGTCACGGGGTATGGGTCAGAGTGCATAGGGCAGCGAGAAGGGAGCACGGTGGGGCAAAGGGCATGGGGTACGGAGGCAGAGGTCAGGGGGCATGGGAAATACAGCTGTACACGTCACCGGGTCACTGCAGCACTGTCACGGCATTTGGCATGCTGACGACAACAGCTTTGTCGTTTATTATTGTTCGTCGCCGTCTATTACGATTACGATTATTGGAGTATCCGGACGGGTGGAGCTGTGGTAGGGACTCCCGACTCACAATCCGACGGGTCGCAAGGTCAAACCTCGATGGGGGGTCGGCTCGGCCCATCGTCCCTGCAGGGTGAGGTGGGCTGAGCCGATTCTCACCCCTTTCGGGAAATCGGTCACCTCCATGGGAGGGTGGAAATGCCACAGCGCTGACGCTGGACGCCACTATTCATTTGGGCAGTGGTCTATCAGACTCGTGTTATTACAGGAGACAGACAACGATGATTATGAGACAGAGCAGCCTCCTTGACTAGATGGGCAAGTTTTAAGCATTTAAAAGAACCATCAGATTTGGGTTTTAATTTGTGCGACAGGCAATTACAGATGACTTGCTACCAATGGGGTCGTATTTTATAAAGTTGTGTCTATGAGCACAATTGAAATGTAATGTGTGTGTGCGTTTTGTTATTTCTGTATAAAACAGAGAGACAACGGCAGTATCTTCTTGAGCGCATAAACTTTACAACAATACATTTTGGAGAAAGCAATTATCTGAACATTGGTTTTGGAAGGGTGGACAGGGATTAGAGATGGGGGAATGGTAGTGGGGAGGGCCGAACACACACGCATGCATACAAACACACACACGTGCGGGTGTTCACTCGCGAATTCCTGACAGCCCCAACGTGGCCACGCGCACACGACGGCGTACGCGGCCAACGCAGGAACTCGCGGCGTAAGCGGGAGGAGGAAAAATCCCAGCCTAAGCAACGCGGCGAGAGTTGTAAAAACCACTTCAACGTTTGCCCCGCGCGGATAAAAGGCTGCCAAGCGAGCAGGTGTTTGACGCAGGAGATTTCTACGCAGGAGGGGAGACTTCCATTCTGGGGCGCAGCAGCCCCCCCTGGCCACGCACCTTCCCCTCCATCCGTCTTCATCGCGGTCCCATCGCGAGGATTTAGCGGGGAGCAGGGGTGATCGTATGACGGCTCACTCTCCCCTTGCTCCGCAGTACATCCCTCATCCTATCAGGGCACACGGCCCTCCCGACTCTGCCATCCATCACCATTCCCTGGCACCGCACGGCAGACAATCCGACGCGGGCGGCGCGCACTCGGTCAATCCGCCGGCCCCCGCTGTCTGTACCGCTTCCAGGAGCTAACATAAAGATGTCAGCGCGTCGCGTTGGCTGGATGGGAAAACACCGGAGCGCGATGCAATATGCGCCTGTGACCCCCCCCCCCCGCCGCACCGACCGCAAGCGCATGAATAATATGCAAAGTGTGTCTATCACACGCGAAAGCATCTGTCACAATCTAATATATATGCATAATATACAAGCAGGTTCACGCACATGAATCACGCAGATTTCCAATCGTCGCGAGGCCTTGTAGCGCGGAGCTGCACGGCGCTCGTGCCCGCGCAGGTAAATCGTCTCCCGCTCGCTGGGCACGCACGCGTCGCTTTGGCGCCCAAATTAGCAGAGCGTTCCCCAATCGCGGGACGTGTATCGGCACGCGCACGGGGGTGGGGGATGGCGCAACGCAAGACGCCGGCCGTACCGCGTGAGCGTAGCACGAAGGGGGCTGCGGCGTAGTTTGGCCGAGGAGACTCTGGGGTTGAGCGTTTCTCCGCCCGTTCGTTACGACGGCGAGTCGATTCGCGAGGGGCAAACGTTCACGGAGCCACGTTGGAGGCCAGCGGAAAAAATGTCATGCCCGAGGCAGGGTGAGTTGTAGCCTCGCTCGGCGGGGGGTGGAGCGCGCGTGAATCGCAGCCGAGGTTGCGGAATACCGCGCGTGCGCGCTGCTCACAATCGTGTCAGCGATTGTTTAATTAGAGGGGGGAAACACAAAAGGCGGAGAGAAATAACGCCAACAACAAAGATTTCAAAATAATAATAATGCACTTTCCGAGCACATTCATTAGCAGGGTGGACTGTTATGAAATTAGGAAATTATAAACCGCTTGTCATTTTTTAAACGTATATTTATTTACTCATTATAATTACATTTTTCATAAACATCTCAGTTGAATTAGGGCGGTAGGCTCATTGGAAAATCATCAACGTTCCTCGGTCCGGGGGGTGGCATCCGCGCTCTCCTCCTCCCATTTATATATCATACTCAGCCACGAGGGATTTCACAAGCTTTATTTTCTCACGGGCATTTCATAACTCCTCTTTGGCTCCTGCCGGCATCTTCGTTTGTTAGACGCTTCAAACTCCACGCAGGGCCAACTGCACATTCTGCAAGGACTGAAACGACGCAGAGCCGGGGTTCACGCGCGCCACGCTACCACAGCCCAGCGTGAGATGTTCGATTCCTGTCCCCCCCGCGCACGGCAGCGGCAATCGCTTTCTGAACCAGAGTCAACCTGCGCCTCGCCAAGGTTGACCCGGCCTGAACGTGCGGACCTGGTGTGGTCATCAGAAGCATGGGTGGGGGGGCGGCGGGGGGGGGGGGGGGGGTTATGAGTGGTACAGGCCCCACCGCCCACTCGTGCTGCGCCAGCATTAATAACGGACGGATCGTCGCCAACATAAAAAAGCTCAATAAATATATTTACATTTTACCAGGTTAGGCCCACTGCGCCATACAGCTCTTTTTCAGAAGCGACATGGCCACGAATGATAGCTCAACGAAGTGGCTCGTCTTGTGGAAATGTATAGCAGCCAAATACCCGAAACTAATATTTCTTAATGTGGAGGGAAAAACCGGAGGACTCGGAGAAAAATCCACGTGACCACTGAGAGAACATGCAAAGTCTAAATGTACAGCCGTCAGGGTCGGGATCGAACCCACGACCTCCTGTATACCAGGCGAGGTAGTTAACATCCCAAACTGATGGGACATCTGGCAAATTAAAGAGTTCCTTTTGGGCCTGCACAACAACGTCGATGGTTTTAGGTCTGTGCGCGCGCATCTGCCTCCCCCGCATGCCGTATGCGGCGATGATTGTAAAAGGAAGAAAGAAAGAAAAAACCTCCGAAGATATAATTCCAAAAAAAAACCCATCAAGCCCTTTGCAGCAATGGCCTTGGAAAAAAATAAATCCACAATATTACCCAATTACAGTGCGATAGTCTATTGGCGTGGGTCATATTAAGGGACAGTCATGAAGCGTAAAGGCGCTAATCATCACTCCAACTAGGGCAGGCATGGGGAGGGAGGTAGAGCGCTCGGCAACGCGATGCGCGGGGGGTTGGGCGAGCGGCGGGGTCAACACACAAGCCGCTCGCAAGATTGAGCGTAAATTTCCCGCGTTCAGAAGCCGTACCAAGTTGGCAAATTGTAAAGCATTTTCCTTCCGCGGCAGAGCCATTTCAGAGGCGCTCGCTGTGACTGCGGTCGCAGAGTTATCGGGGTCCGTCTCGCACGCGCGGGCACGGCGATCACGCTGGGGTATGGGCACCGCTGGTACTGCCAACCCGATCTCGGAGACGCCGGTGCCAACGGCGAGGTACTGTTTTATACGCAGGCATTCGCGACAAATATTATGATTCATAATTCGTTTATTTTGGGTTAGGTCATCGTGCAGGTATAATGTAACATTTCAACCAGAACCCTCCAAATTGTGACCTTGATTTGATTCATTAACTTTTATTTAACACCTGAAAAAAAAACTATCAACATTTTGCTTGGGCTTTGCAACATTCCTCCTCCTGCTGGATTCGATAGGCTCTGTCGGATGGTGAAAGGTTATAGTATAAACATGTTTGACATTATACCTCCACGGCGATCTGACCCAAAATAAACTGGCTAAACATAAAAGCGCACCTGCAAGTGCTGGAATGCGTGCCTTGGTGCCGCGCAAGTGGGTATGCCACGTGGCCTCCTGTCAGCGCACACTTCACGTGCCCTCAAAGTGCACCGAGCCGGCACAAGCGCTGCGGTGACATCGCCGCCACTCAGTGGCGAACGGCGGTGCGCGGATGTTGTTGTTGTTGTTGTAGCACGTATGCAGTGTTAATAAAACGTAGGAATAGGACTCGGCAATAGAATGAGGTGCGCACGAGCGAGGACTTGGGTGGGCTGCGTAGCATTTCTGAGTGGCACATTCACGGCCGCGCTCCCTAAGCGCGGTTTGCCAGAACGCTGAAGTGCGAACGTCCGTCTTAAAAAATATGCCTCTGTTTATTAATTTCAATAGTTCATTTCATTTAACACTCAGTTAAATGAAGTTACTTCATTTAACTAAGTGCGAGGGTAAACGATAGAGCTTGGCATTTTTTGCATGTGATAAAAATCAGACAAATTATTTTATTCAACACGCCGGCTTTCGCGACCAATATTGTGTGACCCAAAAACACATCACTTTATCATTTCGTTAAACAGTTAAGAGTGTGCCGAGGTGACACAGTGGCTATAACACGTAGCCCACACAAATTCAAATCAGTCGTCAACTCATCCCACCATTCCTTTGGGAGGGGTTGATAAGTTGCCAATTGCTTACTAGGACTAGGACGTCAACATTGTTTGTCTTATGGATAGAATCACCCCCCCCGACAATAACAGACTCCCCCCCACACCAATAACAATATGGAATTCTCCAACCCCATCTCAGGGCTGTAAACAAGGAATTCAATTCCACCCATGCTCATGTGAGCAGGAAACCAATTTGTGTTTTTAAAAGCCACGGGGGGCTACGAGCCACAGAGGTTGGTAGTGCCGGTGTGTCAGCCGAGCCCAACAGGGGCACTCTGTGCACCCCCCGGTGTCCACACGCAGGAGACTCCGGCAGGGTCGCGCATGCGTTACCTTCACCCCACCAAGGGGCTCGACCACCACTTGGCGGTGGCGGCTCACGCCCCCCGGACTCGCGCTCAATAATTTACAAACACGAGCCGGGGTTTGTTTGACAAATGCAGCCATGTGCCCGCGTGGCTCCGGCGCGTCCGCCACGGGGTAATGAACAGCTGTTAACTGCTACCTGCACACGCGATATCTCCAGGGTAAATTTCTGAGGATGCGAACGGAGTTATTTTTACATCTAAATAATCCTGGCGGCTTGGGAGAACACGCCGGTATGAGGACGCGCACTCACGCGCGCGTAAGCTCACGCGCGCGCTCGCGAGCACGCACCTCTCTCGCTGGCGTCGTCCACCAGGATGACCTCGCGCAGGAGGTGAGCGGGTGAGCGGTTGATGACGCTGTGAACCGTGCGCAGCAGGGTGCTCCAGGCCTCGTTGTGAAACACGATCACCACGCTGGTCTGCGGGAGCCCGTCCGCGTACACCTTGGTCTTGCAGCTGCAGGGAGAGAGGGGGCGCGGCGGGGGGGGGGGGCGGTCAAGGACGGCGGAGTATTTAGTATTTATTTCTGAACCAGCTGGACGCTCCCCGTCGCCGCTGCTCCGCACGAAAGCCGCGCCGTCGTCACCCCGCTGTGCCGCGACGGTGTTGTTCGCGCCGTTCACGCCGAGAAGCTCCCTGGGGCAGCGTCTCCAACCCGAGTCGACGCGGTGGCTACGAATAAATGCCCGCCGCGCCACCGAAGCTAAACCGAGTTGGTTTTGTCGAGAGTCTAAACTACGCGAGCGTGGGGGATCTTTCCGACTGCACGCCGCGCACTCCAAGTTTCGCCACATGCGCCGTGGCATTCTGCCTGCTCAGGGCAACTTTCAATGAAACTCGTGTCTTTTGATCTGTCACTGAAGAGCCCTGGGCCATCAACCCGTGGAATCAGTGGTGCATCTTGTATGCACGCTTAACAAATTACTTGAGAGCCAATTACAATTCGGTTCGCAAGAGCGTAGTTTCTCGGCACGGCTTTCCCCGGTGGCACACGAACACTCACTTTAATGGCACCCCACGGTCGCACAAACAAGAATCATCGCTAACAGCATCACCTGTCCGACAGAGTGAACAATCCAAACACATTTTCAAATAAAGCGCACAACGTTAGTGTGCGTGGCAGTCAACCAGACAAAGGGAGAGTGCAAAGACCACGCGGCGGTGCGCAAGGGCGGAGAGACACGCGCAGGGAGCAGATTTTTGCAGCCTTGCTGTCCACGATATTGAACGTGCGACGACAAAGCAGCCAGACGCGGGCAATGGAGCAACTCCTTCACGTGCAGCGTCTCCCACCGGCATGCACGCACACGCCACTCACTTGAGGAATGAGGGCGGGGGGGGGGGCTGCAAAGGCTGGGGGAGGGGAGGTGTGATCGCACACACTCCGACCTCTTCCACGAAGGTCACATCACGCTTTCCCTCTGGGCACAGGAGATCACTCCGCACATTTCTATTAGCGCTCGTGCAGGTTTAATTACGCCGATGAGCGTGCTCGCGCCGCCCAAACAAAGACGCAGCGTTTGAATGCAGAGAGGACTCAACGTTCTCGGTGGGTTTATTGACGCATCGGCAAAAAAATTCAATCTTGGCCCTTTTTGTTTGATAAATAAATGATCGCGATTAGGGAGTTAAAAAAAAAACCTTGTAAATAATTAACATTTCAAACATGATCCGTCACTGGAGACCGATTTAATTAGTTCAAAGGTCCGGCGAGCCAGCGACCGGGGAGAGAGCGATGTGCGAGTCGCCGCTGATCTCCCGCACCTCTCCATCAGCGCCAGCACAACATCAATACTTCCATTCTGTGAGAGTTACCTCCCCCCCCCCAGCCAGCGTCCCACCCATCACGGTGGCCTCGCTCACCCCCCCGCCCCCCCCACCCCACGGGAGGCCGGCAGTGACGTACGGACTCCCACGGCAGCCCCTTGTGAGCCGTTATCTACCAGATTGGAGCGTCTCAATTGAGCCGGCAGGAGGAGGAGAGAATGAACGGGCACGACTGTAACGTACGGCAGGACGGGCAGAGCATCTTGGAATTAGCGACCAGATGGCAGGCGACCGGGTCCCCACATCCGTAATGACAACCAGACGGCGCTGCGGAAATCATCGTAGATGCCCGTTGTCTTCGCGTAACGCACAAAGCAGCCAACGCAGTTTCCATTTAATATTTAATTTATATTTGTGTGAGGCCACTTAACGATCGGTCCAAATTATCCTCATGTTGGCCGCCGACATATCCGTGTGCAATTTCCTTCGTGGCTCTAACTACGGTACACGCGCACGTACGTACACACTGTTGCGCAGAGCCGAAGATCAGAGATCCCCTCCAACCCCCCCCCACCGCCTCCGTATGATGGCCTTTAACAAAATGCCGGCAAGTACTGTTAGTGGGCGCCAATTAAAAACCCGCACGGTGCACGAGGCGGTGGAGTGGCCCTCACCACACCCGGCGGGGTGCAGGGTGAGGCACCTCGCCAACAACTTACCCGAGGCCGAGTCGGCCAACATTCGCGCGTGCGCCTAGCACGAGGCCTGGTGCTCCTAGCACGAGGCCCGGTGCTCGCACACCTACCGGGTCGCGGGGCGCCCTGGCGGGCCCCACGCCAGTTAATTGATTTGCATGATCGGCCGTCTCGTGTTCGCGAGCGGCGCGTGTGCCCGTCGCGCATGTAAACATGCGCGTGGTTAATGAGGCGGCCCGGCACCCTGTCCGGATGTGTTAGGCACCGCAGGAGATGTAATGAGGACGCGGGCGCGCACCGAGGCCTTAAAAAAAAAACTGCCTGTGCCGCCTGCACGCGGAGCGGCAATTTTATCAATTTCACACCCAGGGAAGCACTTGTCGGGGGGAAGATGTGTGTTTATGATCAGAGTTTGGTGCGGTTGGTTCTTTCTTTTATTATCCGTTACATAATAGTCAACAAAATGAGACTAATTATTTTGTAAATACCAGGCATATTTGTGACACCGTTTGCCGCAAGCGCGTTGCCGCTCCCAAACCCGCCACCGCCCGCGTGCGCACGGACGCGGAACTCGTGCGGCAAAAAAGCTGCCAAAAGCAAAGCACTCTCCGCAGAGCGCCGACCGGTATGTTTATCAGCTGCCACGGAGGAGCGCGATGGCCCCCCAGAGAAAAGGGCTACAATCTCATCTCGTGCTTATTACATCTCTCACTGGTCGGCGCGGAAAGTTCGAACAAGGCCACGGCGGTCACGCTGAGAAGCCAAATTGAATCGCCCGTGCCCTTCTCCCCCCACATCCACCCCCCCCCTCTCCCTCCGCCCGCGGGCCCCCGCGCACCCGGGCACCGCGAATCGTCGCACGTGCCAGCCGGCGTCGCGTTTCGGCAGCGACAGGCGCGGCCCTGCCACGCGTGGCATGGCTCCGGGGAGGGCCGAGAGAACCCAATTAGCCGCGCTCCCGGCACGCACGCACGCACGCGCGCACGCACGCACGCTCACCGTGACCCCGAGCCAGCTCATTAGGTGCCGTGACATCTGCCAGCCGAGGGGCCCCGGCTGGATCGTGACGTGTGGATCCGAGAAGTCTCGTTCGCTTCGCCTCTGCGCAGGTGTTTTCCCACCGGACCCTGAATCGTCGAGATGCCCCCCGCACCGACTTCAGCAGCGTTAGCCACCATCAGGAGCGGGCGGCTTGTGAGGTTTTTTTGTTTCTCTTTCCTTTTTCCACTTCGGTGTCTCGTGCTATAACGTTCGGCATGTTATTGCTCGTGAATTATAAATGAACGAAAACACCGCGTCGCTCGGGAAGCGGGAGAACAACCACGCGCATGCGGTGGACGCGCGGCGGCCCGCATTGCGGTCACATGGCGCGGACGACATCGCGTTACAGAAGCGAAGCCGGAACCCTCGCGCAACGACGCAATTCTGCGGTAGTCGTTTTTTTTTTCCGACACGCACGGCGCGGCCTACCCGCCGGAGCAAACGGTCGGAGTCCCCGAGGCTGACAGAAGAAAGGAGGGAGCCCGTCCCTCGTCTTCTGCCGAGCTCAAGGTTGTCCACGGCCGCCTTTAATGTCGGCGCGTGGATGGAAACGTGCGGCCGTTACCGCCGTGAAAAAAGCCGCGCCGGCGACCCCCACAATGCCACAGTTTACGGACGTTACTGACGTTACAGAAGTTATGGACGTTAGAGACGTCGCAGACGGTACAGAGGTTACGGGCGCTACAGAGGTTACGTATGTTGGACCTTAAAGAGGTGACAGACGTTATGGACATTGCAGAGGTTACGGACGTTAGAGACTTTATAGACGTTACGGATGTTGTGGACCTTACAAATGTTACATATATTACAGAGGTTACAGACGTTAGAGGTTTCAGACGTTGCAAACGTAATTCCACGGCTGCATGAAGACCCCTTCACGTCGTGTTGGCCCGTGGGGGTTGTTTGACCATATTTCACCTGCGCTTTTCAATGTAGGGTTGGTCATGGCGGTAGGGAGGGGGGCGGGGCGGTGGTTCAGGGGGCATCAGGATCTGTTCAGATATCATCACTCAGGAGTTGAAAAAATGTTGCTGGGTTCGTGGCGCGGTGCGCTAACCGCTGTGCCGCCGCTCCCCCCACCTCTGTCAAAAGGTCAACCGCAATGTAAGTGAGCAAAATTGCCGAACGAGAAAAAAAAATTTAATGGCCGTGGCGCTGCGTTCGTGTACTGCGGTCACTTCATAACCCAAAGCACTCACGTTCTTTCCGAAAACAGTTGACATTAAATTCACCGTTGATAATGCTCCAATGTGAGCAAATCGTGGGGTTCGGTGATTACCTGGCCCAGTTGTTAACGGGAAACGCGGCGTTTGCAATCAGCTCACGGGCGTCCCCGCGGCCGGTAATGCATTTCAATGATGGGACCTCCGGATAAAACCCAGATCGATGAACTTAGATACGATATTGAGTTTTTCAGTTTGATATCGATCTTGGAACCTTGCGATTCCCAGACTTAATTTAAATCAAATTTGGTGTCTGCCGAGAACACAGACCATGTCAGGGAGTTATTTTCACCATTACTCTGTTGTTTGGGGAGAAAATAACAATTTCTCATGTACTTTTAGAGAAGAAAAGTCTGTTTTGAGAGTTCTGATGAGGTGAGGCTGCACCAATGCAGGTGAGATGAGAGTAATGGCCAGGCTGCTATGAGGATCAGTCGGGTCACCTTCACCCATACAATCACTTACAACCCTTTGTTTATAGATGTTTGACCATACTTCACCACACTGGTCATGGCAGGTTGGAGAAGAGAGCACATCCAGGAATGGTTCTGATAGTGATCATCACCGGTGTTAGCCGAGGCCGGCAATCGATACTCAAGCCACTCGATTTAGAGTCCAGTGCCCCAACTGCTGCGCCACCACTCCATCACACTTTTCCCAAACGGCAAACAAATACGGGAATGGCTAACTTATTAAAAAAATTAAATATGATGGCAGCTCTCTACCGGTG